CTTCGACCCTTTGTGGGTTAGGTACATGAAGAAACGGTCCGATCTCTATCATATTTATAACAGATCTTATACTTATGGAAATATTAAGATGTGCTTAGTCAAAATGGAATCGGATGTTAATTTCGTGTTTTATGAGCTTCAAGGTTATTCAAAATTTTGACCGTTTGTGGAGTGGACCAATAGTGTCCATTTTCGCACTGATGCAAATATTAGGATTTGCAAAGTTGTAGCAAAAACGGATTATCTTTCCCCTTTCTGTCTTTGTGGGGGGAGGTACCAGAAGGAGTGGACCGATATTGTCCATCTCCGAACTCGATCTAAGTGCGCATCAGCCAGCCAGACGGATGGACATCGCTAGATCGACTCCATATGTCCTAAAACAGATTTGGTCCAAAGAGATCTAGTGTCTAAAGCCGTTATTTCGATGAGGCACGTTTTGACCGTATCAAATGGGTGCAATAATTTAAACTATTGAATATTGATCGAATTTGAATATTAAATAAAATCTGAAAATTCAAACGACAAAAATTCGATTTTCAAATAATGTGCTTTAAAATACCCCCAAAAATTTACCGCTTCGGGCAATAACTATGTTTAATATAATGCTTAACATTATATTTTAGAATATTCTTAAGCTTGACCTGATTCTATTTATAATTGACCTAAAATCCGATGCCTCTGACTTTTCGAGTGTGGTGAGGGGCAAGGGTTAAATCATCTGTCCCTTTGGCGCAGAGGATAGCGCGTTGGACTTCTAATCCAAAGGTCGCGGGTTCGATCCCCGCAAGGGATGTCAAACTTGTATTTTGAATATATAATAGATCTAGAATGCCTTAAGAAGCCGAACCGAATTAATCTGCTTCCAGGTAGGGTAAACGGCGTAAAAAACAGTGTCAAATTTTGAATCAGATTACTCAGATTATGTATAATCGATATGTACGTTAAAGATGAAAGAAGTTAAAATATCCAAGTGTGTTTGGATAAAAACTCCTCAAACCCCTAAATGTTATATATCCTAGACCACAGGCAATTTAGTCTTACTTAAATGTTTTTTTTATGAAATTTTTAATTCCTCTTATATACCAAAACAATTGGGCATTTATTCGTATAAATTTTAAAGCAGAAGTAATCTTGTATTTGAATAAAAAGATATTTTGAAAGCCATCCCTTGCGGGGATCGAACCCGCGACCTTTGGATTAGAAGTCCAACGCGCTATCCTCTGCGCCAAAGGGACATGTTGCGAGACGCTGCCACAGAACATCGTACAAAATTCAGATAAGAACATTTTTTTAAATTTTAATAAAAAATATTGAAAAAATGAAAATAATTAAAATGTTTACATGGCTATTAGCAGTTAATACATACACAAAGTTAATAAACACAGACAGAAAATAATTTAAGTCAGTTTAATGGTATACAATTCAAAATTTATTTCTACATTGTTTTATTTTTTAAAGAACTTTATCAATACTCTCCTACTTTTGTTCTGAAATCTATTACCCATAATTATTCATAACCCCTACACAATTAACGTATTCCAATAACACCATTAATGGAATATAGATACTGCTAAAATAAATACCTTTTCCATTTGTATTGATATTCTTCGCATTCAAGAACGCGTGTGGCTTTATTTGAAAACCATATTATGATGCTAAACCTACTTGAATGTTTATACAATTTTATTTACATAATAATTTGTATACATTTATGTGATTGTTGTTATTGGAAACAGAATTATTCTAGATGTTCTTATTATTTTTAAGTGATTCATATGGAACCAAGAAGGATGGCCACACATAGCCTCGGTGGCGCAGTAGGCAGCGCGTAAGTCTCATAATCTTAAGGTCGTGAGTTCGAGCCTCACCCGGGGCATATGTTTTTTGTTTAAAAAAAGCAAATTGATGAGAACATTTATTTTCTTCTAGAACATGCGGACAACGTAATTTTGGGCTTTTGGATTTGGCCAGCAGTAAATATTTTATTGACGGAAACACTCAGATAATTAACATTCGAAAGAATAGGAATTTGTTCTTTTCTCTTTTTTCCAACATTCTAAAAGTCTCAGCAAATCTATGACTTTATGTGGAATAAGTCCTCATATTTTTTCTACTTTTCAGCATCTTTCGGTAATTCTCATGACTTGATTTTGATAAAAAAAAAAACAAGTTAAATAGTATCAGTCGGTTTTGCCGATAGATGTATACCGACAACCTTGAGTTATGATCATTCAAACTGTTAACCCTTTATGGGGGAGAGGTTCCGAAGTAGTTGACCAATATTGACTAATTCGTGTCTGAACTAAGACTGATATAAATATTACAACGTGCCAGATTTGGACTATATCGTCTAATGAGATATGAGAGAAATTTTACGAGAAAATTTTGGAAAATGTGGAAATATGCCTGAGGTACCAGATATAGCGAACCGAAATATTCCACTACATCTAATACAGATAAAATTATTGGTATGCGCAAAATTTAAAGGAAATCGAACATTTATATCCAATTCTATACGAAATCATAAATTCCGATAAATTACATATTAATATCAGATTTCTTGATAAGAGAAATAGTTAGATACAGCAAGTTGTATGGAATCGCCGACTTGTTTCGCAAGTTATGACAGATATAAGTATTTTTGGCCAGAACGGATTGGCAAATATCTATCATCTTCAGTACTGATTTTGCGTTAAAAAAATGTTTGGATGTGTGAAATTTGAAGAGAGTTTGTTTATGTGCCTTTGTGGGGGAAGTACTAGAAGTAGTGCGCCGGTATATCCCATTTTCACAGCAGATCTTGTGTTAGTACAAATAATGGTATGTGTGAAATTTGAAGTATTTCGAATTTTATGATCGTTTTGGACAATATCGGTCCACTCCTTTTGCTACCTTCCCCACAAAAGGTCGAAATGTTCAAAAAATATATGTTCTGCACAGAAAGAGAAAGAATAATCCGAGTTTGCTCCAACTTTGCAAATCCTAATGTTTGCGTCAGTGCTAGGTCAGGGGCGAAGATGGACAATATCACTCCACTCCATCAAGTACTTCCCCAGAAAGGGTCAATATTTTAAATAGTTTTAACTCTTATAAAATGTGATGTAAGAGTTCGTCTTAAAATTACACACATCACAATTCCTTTATTACCCCACGGACTGCTTTGAAGACGGAATATATCGGTCCACTCCTACTGGTACCTGAGCCACAAAGGGTCAACATTTTGAATACCCATGAAGCTCATAAAACGCGAAATGAACATCCGATTCCATTCAGACTTGGGATATATCGATCCATTCCTTCCGGTACCTCCCCCACAAAGGGTCAAAGTTTTGAATAACCAAAAAGTTCATAGAATACGAAATAAACATCCGGTACTCTTCATATTTCACACATCGCGAGATATGCTGTAAAGATTGGATATATCGGTCCATCCTTCTGGTACGTCCCCCACAAAGGGCAAATGTTCAAAGCACAAATTTTGAATATCCATGGAGCTCATAAAACGCGAAATTAACATCCGAATCCATTCAGACTTGGTTCATCTCAATATTTCCATCAATACTAGATCTGTTATAAATATGGTACAGATCGGACCATTCCTTCTGGTACCTATTCCACAAAGGTTAAAAGTTTTGAATAACCAAAACGTTCATAAAATCCGAAATAAGCATCAGGTTCTCTTCATATTTCACACATCCCATTATTACTACTAACACAAGATATGATGTGAAAATGGGATATATTGGTCCATCTTTCTTGTACCTCCCTTACAAGGGGCCCAAATTTTGAATATCCTTGAAGCTCATAAAACTTGAAATTAACAACCGAATCATTCAAACTTGGCACATCTCTTAATATTTTCATCAACACAAGATCTGTTATAAAGATAGTAAAGATCGGAGCATTTCTTCTGGCACCTCAACCACATAAGGTCCAAGATTTTGAAAAACAAAACACTCAAAGAAAATGAGATACCAATATTTTTATCTGTATTAAATAAAGTATGAAAATGGAATACTTCGGTCGACAATATCTGGTATCCCACTCACATTTTAACATTTTCAAAAAATTATCACATAGGGTAAGTGTGCCTAAGTTCGGCATGTCCCAGTAGTCGGCACTTTTTATTTTTAAGCCCAAATAAATGAAACTATTATAACTAATTTTTTTTGTTTACTTCATATATATTGTCTGCTATCTTTGTGTACAATTTCGCTAAGAAAAGATGATTTATTCTAATAAAAATTAATTTTTTTCTTAAGAAAATTAAATCCATATTCTTAAGAAAAGTACAATAAAGACATCGATTCAGTTTAATAAACAAAAATATTATATTTTAATGAATTAATTTATTATTATTTTTAATTATTCTTACAAAAAAATTGGTATGCCGACTGTTGGAACACACCATACTCACAATTAGCAAGTGGTGCCGACTACTGGCAAAAAAGCATTGTTTTAATAACACTACAAATTTACGAAATTTAATAAAAAGTTATTAAAACTTTATTTATTATTGCAAAAACTATACAAATTTTCGAATATGAATAAATTAACTATATAATAATTTAAAAGTTCCACTCAGAATGGTGAGCTATTAAAAACGCGAAAATCCTAAATGTGCCGACTACTGGTACACTTATCCTATCTCATATAAATTTAAGGAAGCAGTCGATAAAGTCCAAACCTGGCACGTCGCAACATTTATCTTATTTTTATTTAGGTCCGAAAATATTTGCCAATAGACAATATTGGTCCTCCATAGAGGGTCAAAAATTTGAATAATCATAACAGAAGTTCAAATATACTTAAATTATTGAATACTGGCGGAGAATGCACATGTCGGAAAACCGACTGATTCTTTTTAACTTGTTTTTATTAAAAATACATCAATTGGAGAAAATATATCGACTAAACCTCTAACTTTTTCTACTGTTTTATAACTACCAAAACGTACGTACCTTGTTGATATGTAATGCTCCCAAAACCAGTTGAAATACTTAAATTCCAATATTTATTTCAGATTCATTCACGGTTGTTGTTGATACTTTATAAAAATCATTCATTGTTTTCTTAATGAGATGAGACCAGAACGTAAAGATTAAATTTCTTAAATTTTCTATGATTTTTTTTCTCAATTATATTACGTGCTTTATACTAAATGTTAAGAGTTTGCTCTGAGCAGGCAAGATCTTCCTTTTTTTAAGCTTACTCCCACGAAATGGCAACTATTTGCCCATACGCTGTATGGACCATTCCTGTTGGCATAGGGGACAACGATTGTTTTGCTTCACCCACAGTGACATGCAACAGTGGTGGAAGGAATGATTGCATTCACCCCAGACAACAACGCAATCCTGGCGACCCATGACATCACGTTTATTTTCAGCTTGACAACGCAAGCAGGCATCTGAAATGAGAAAAAATGGAATTGAATGAGTAAAATCGAAATAATTGCAGAGGGTAGGAGAAATAGAACACAAGTCTCTTGTCAACACTTTAATTATATTCAATTATTAGAACACAACTAAATTTCTTGTCGTATGACGAGGTGGGGAGAAAAACCTCTCTCTCTCTCTCTCTCTCTCTCTCTCTCTCTCCACCTGTTGCCACTTAGCAAAAAGTCATTTTTTTCTTTCTACATTTAAATACTTTTCCAATAGAGCGCTGCAACATCTATGACATTGAACTTCAATTCACATTTCTTGCTTAGGTTCCGGATTCGCTGACGTCGGTACATTAGAACGTAGAGTAAACAAGTTAAAAAGTATGAGTAGGTTCTGCCGGCAGATACATACACTTAGACTTTTGTTATGATTATTCAAATTGTTGAACGTCTATGGAGTAATTGTCCAAATATTGTATCGGACCTTCTTTGAACTTTTTGTTTTTTCAAAAAATTGAACCCTATGTAATGGAGGTACCAGAAGGAATGGTCCGATGTCTACCATCTTTATAACAGATCTTATGTTGATAGAAATATTGAAACGTGTCAAGTCTGAATGGAGTGGGATGTCAATTTCGCCTTTTATGAGCTTCATGGATATTCCAAATTTTTACCCTTTGTGTGGGAGGTATCAGAAGGAGATATACTCCACCTTTTGACCAGAACCTGGGTTAAAAAATATTGTGATGTTTGTAATTTTAAGACAATCAGACTCTTACATCACATTTTATAAGAGTTATAACTATTCATCAAGTACCTCCCCCTTTGTGGGGGAGGTACTTGATGGACCGATATTGTCCTTTTTGCACCTGACCTGAGGGTATATTAAGTTTGTCATTCCGTTTGTAACACCTCGAAAAATACATTTTAGACCCCACAAAGAATATATGTATCCTTGATCAGCATAAAATTCTATGTCGATTAAGCAAGGTCCGTCCGTCTGTGAAAATCCATCTAGCTTCCGAACTTTTGGTATTGAAAAGGAGCCATGTAGGTCCACGTTTTGGTATAACCCCCATATAATGGTACCTCCCGATATTCGGTATTTTGATGATTTTTGCGACAATATTCATCAGAATTGTTTCAAATTTGGTACTTGAAGTTCGTATCGGGTACTACAGCCTACGACAAAAAATTATCTATGCAGGTCCACGCCTTCGTATAGCCCCCATATAACGGCACCTCCCGATATTCGGTATTTTGATGATTTTAGCGATATTATTCGCCGGAATTGTTTCAAAGTTGCTATTTGAAGTTCGTAATGGATACTACAGCCTATGACAGAAAATTGTCTGTGCATGTCCAAGTCTTCGTATAGCCCTCATATAATGGTACCTCCCGATATTCGGTGTTTTGATGATTTTATCTACATTATTCACCGGAATTTTTTAAGATTTGGTATTTGAAGTTCGTAATGGATACTACAGCCTATGAAGAAAATTGTCTGTGTAGTTCCACGTTTCGGTGTAGCCCCCATAAAATTGTACCTCCCTATTTTCGGTATTTTGATGATTTTAGCTACAGTATTTACCGTTTTTTTCATGTTTCGTATTTGAATATTGTAAGGGGTTGTGACAAAAGTTGGCTATGCAGGTCCACGTCTTCGTAAAGACCCCAATATAACGTCTATATTCGATATTTTTAAGATTTTATCAGAATTTTTAACGGATTTATTTTTTTTTTTTAAATTTCCAAATTCGTTCAAAGTGGTGGAGTGCCGGCCGGACTATATGCTTTTTTACTTGTTTTTTTTTTTTTAATTGTCCTATAGATCTTAAAATCATCCCTTATGACGTAAAGTATTTTCAATGAACATTTTGATCTTTTGTGGGGGAGGTTCCAGAAGAAGTGGACCGATGTTGTCCATCTTCGAAACCGATCTAATTACTGAACAGGTCTATAAAATATCAATGACTTCGATTAAATGTTTTACACTCCACTGTAATGAATTCATGTAATTCGACAAATATTTCATAGAATCCACCAAGAAATTATCGAATAAATTTAGCGACAACAATTTCTTTTGCGAAATCCACGGTGGCCAAGAGCCAATTGCAAGTGTTTGGCCCCCTTTGGCTAGATGATGACGCAAATTCAAAATGCTCGGCATTGAATATTTCGGTATGTAATATATTTTATCAACCATCATCACATGATGGCAACGACGACGAAGCCGATGATGATGATGCTGATGATGATGAGACGTTGCTTTTTGTTGTAAATAGATCGCCTGTAATTGATAATGGCCCGCGACCCCCTTCTATTATTGTCATCATCTTCATTCGATTGGGGGCAAATAAGGAACACACCTCCCTATGCTACTGAAATTCTTGAATACTTTTTTATTGTTGTTGTTTGCTCATTCGTTCTATCAATTTAACAAATTTAAAAGACGACGTTGACAATAAATGAAAAATAAGAAAATAAACAAATATAAATTAAATTGATTGAAACTTTTTGAAAAAATTTCATTTAAATCACTGGGGCTGGGTCGGTTGGTTGGTTGGCTGGCATGGGAAACGTGCATATTTACACGTTTGACCAAAGCAAAAATTCTGTGGCGGGTGACTTTGAAAGAAAGCAAAAATGCGAGAGCAATGCTCGGAAGGTAGGCAGGTGGCGGGAAGGAATATCTGCTTCTGTGCATTCATTAATGGATATGCCTCCACCCAGCTCACTCTCGGCATAAAAATGCATACGTCCACAAAAAACCGACAATAATTTTCAAAACAATTCTCCTCTGGCCAGGCCATTCATATTTATTTGATCAAAACAACAGGCCTACTAAAATTTCAATGAATACAAGTTATTATGTTTTGAAAATCGAGGAGGAGCTCGGCTTACTTGAGTCGGTCAGTGACTCAGCCGACTTCAGACCATCCACCCATCCCTCCACTTTCAACGATCGTTTACATTAATCATATTTCCCAATTCCCAAAATTCTAAGAATTTTACCACGACGATAATGCTTACGCGTGTGCGATCCGTAAGTGTTTAACAAGTGTATGCGTTTTTCACAACACGTCAAGTGTTAATTTCTTTTGTCCGTCCGGCCGATCCGTTCCATTTGTGGGAATGGTTTAAATGACAAAAGCGGTGGTGGCGGCTCTAAAGTTGCAAATTAAAAAAAAAAGAAAAAAAAAAACAAAAACTATTCTCAATTTCAGCAAAACTGATCGCTGTCACGTCCGTTGTTTCGGCAAAATTCTGCATACGCAACATTTGATCATGTTCAAATTGATTCATTCAACTAGAAGTGCATAGATGAGCAGTACAGTTTAAAGATGGCTATGTGATGACTCAAACGTAGTCCTTAATTTCGACCACTGAAATGTTCACTTTTGAAATTGAAACCGATTGTGATATAATGTATTTAAGATTTCGATCCAGCTAAACGTAGTTCTATTGTTATTTGTCTCTTAAATTTTGGGAGTATTATTGGTTGGGCGCCACCTATGATGTACAGTGATAGGCTTTATTTATGTTTCATTAGAGTAGGTCTAAATAGAACTTCCAAACAACAAATGTTAATGGGTTAGGCAAGAAAATCCTAAACTTTATAACCGATGCGTTTTTAAATAGCTAAGTCATAATTAAATGAGTTTTTAGTCTGAAATGAAAAAGATGAGTGACATTCAAAGTATGCCAAATCATACAAATGTTCAAATTTGGAGGTAGAGTTATATGGGGAAATCTTGGACCTATATAGACAGTTCTTTGCAAGGATGTTCCCTACATAAAGGGAACACAAACTACTAATTTACAGCAAATTCGGGTTAAAATTGTGACCAAAACGCCCAAACACCTTAAATCTGCCAGTGCATTTATATGAAGGCTATACAAAAAACTTTGATCCATACGGTCCAACAAAGTCAAACACCATAATTTTTACATTTATTTTTAAATTTTATTGTATGAAAGCAAAAAATGTTGGAAATAGCATCACATTTAAGAATAAGTTTGGATTTGTTCGAATTGGTCACCTTTGGCACGAATTATGGCCTTCAAACGGCCAATGAAAACGTCACACGCTGCCCGAATGTTGCTCTGCGATATTTTCGCCCATTCCCGGCGAAGCACTTGCTTGACACTTTGGTATTTTTTAGTGTCAACCTTGCTTTCCAAAATACTCCAGAAACAATGGTCCAACGGATTAGTATCCGGAGATTTTGGTGGTCATTGTGCGCTGGAAATGAAGCGAGGAACCTTATTTTGTAGCCATTCTTGGGTGGCGCTTGCTGAGTACGATGGTGCTGGGTCCTGTTGGAATGTCCAAGGTCTGCGGCCAAAATGTTTGTGTGACCAAGTTTTTAATTACCCCCTTCAGAATATTTTCGCGATAATATTCGGCATTTATTCTGATGCCACGGTCGATTAAAACAAGCGGAGAGCGACCAACGGCTGTTATGGCGGCCCACACCATCACCATGGCCGACGCTTAAGTTCTGATGGCCAACCGAAGGTGCACATTTTCAGCTGACCTCTTTGCCAAGTAAACACGGTCATTATGTTTATTCGTAAATTGCTGGACAACGAATGTTTTCTCACCCGAGAAAACCAAATTCGGCAGTTCACCGCTTTCGGTCAAGCGAAGCAACTCTTTAACTCTTTTGAGTCTATTTTCTTTCTGTTGCGGTGTAAGTTCTTACACTTTTTGAAATTACAATGGCTTTACCCCGGGTTTATTTTTCAATATTTGCCGAATGAAATATTGCGAAATGTCCAGCTCACGAGCCATTTTTCGTCCACTGCGACGATCAAGTCGCTTCTTTACTTTTCGAACCATTTCTGCTGATGTTGCTGTTTTCTTCCATCCACTTCCTTGACGTCGGGCTACGATAACGAGCAATGGTACGAGACACGAAATATTTATTCATATTTAAATGCTGGAGTGCTCTAACGATAGCCACTTGTGGTTTTCCAGCCAAATATAAAGAAATCACACTATCACGCTTGAATTCCAT